TTTTTTGTTTTGTACAGGAAAGGCTAAATCCACCACGCAACTTAATGTGCCACTTGCAGAGACCTCATTCCCATCATAGGGCAGGTGGAGCGCGAATGCTAGAAACCCACCAGTAGCTCAAACTGGCAGCTGCCGCTCATTTGAGAGAGACAATTAGGAAGCTGTTTTTAGCTCCGTTTTAGAATCTTTTTTCTCAGTTTTTAGGTGGAAACTCTTGCCACCACATTGGACGCCACAGCCTGGTTCCAAAACAACTTCACATACATTATGGGCCCCAGGCTGATGTTGTGATGCCTCCCTGGCCTTGTCTGGCTTACAGTCTCACTTACTTACTTATTTCCTTACTCTCTTGATGGGACTCAGGCCTGCTGCTCTTTTATTCTTATATCGTTTGCCACTAGCTGTAGGCTATTAAGTGTCCCTCTTTCTTACCATCCCAGGTTCCTAGTCCTACCCTTAAATAATACTCTTCTATACAACCTAGTGGCCCATAGAAGGCTTTCATCAAGTATTTCATTTATGAAAACATTTTATCTGCATTTGTATATTTTTTTCAATTTTAAATACTTCATCTTCTAATCCTGCTCAATTTAGTATCAAAAGAACTTCAGCTTTTGAGAGCCGTGGATGGTACCACATGCTTATAGTCTCAGCTTAGGGAGCTGAAGCAGGGGGATTGAGAGATTGAGGACAGACTGGGCTACAGAGTGAAACTCTTTCTCAAAACAACAGTGATAACAAACAAACAAAACTATCTATGATAAAAAAATGTAAAAATGTAAGTGAACGAATATGGCAAGTGTTTGTGACATGTTCTATGTATGTAATGGAGTGAGAGGCTTTCCTAGGAAAAAGAGAAAACAAAGTCAAGTCAACAAATTCAAATCTGAAGTGTGTTGCATAAAGGTAAAGCTTAGCACCAAAAGCTTTGCTTTGAGCTTCTAAAGAACCTAAGTAAAGGGGGAAATTATAGATTTTACAATTCCCTCCATCTAGTAGAAGGAGTCACATTTGGGCATCAGGAAAAAAATTCTGATCCTGTGCTTTAAAGTTTAAATTATTTTATAGAGAGAAAAGGAGGGGGGAGGGAGGGAGGAAGGGGTAAAGGAGGGAGGGAGAAAGAGGTGAGAGATGAACATGAATGTGAGAATTGGCCCATGAGATTATACATGTGCATTCTGCACTCATGCATAATGTATGTATTATATATTATACACTCATGCATGTAGAGGCCAGGGGACAATATCAGCTTTTATATCTCAGATGTCACCCACCTTGTTTTTAGAGACAGGGTCAGGGTCTCTCATTGACCTGAGACTCAACAAGGAGGCTGAGCTGGCTGGCCAGTGAGCTGTAGGGACTTTGCCTGTCTCTGTCTCCACAGTGCTGAATTACTAGCATGTGTCACCTCACACGTTATTTTTATTACATACTCTAGCAGATCAGACATAGGTCTTCATGTTTGTGTGGCAAGCACTTTGACTACTGAACTATCACCCCGGCCCTAAACTCTTTATTTATGAATCTTACATCTTTTTTGTTATTTTAGACAAGTTCTCTCTATTATGCAGCTCTGGCTGTCCTAGAATGTACTATGTAGACTAGGCTGGCCTTGACCTCGCAGAGATCGACCTGCCTCTGCATCCCGAGTGCTGGGCCACCATGCCAGCCCATTATATTTTATTTTATTTTTTTATCATGGCTTCATGGCCTAGTTTACTATAGGGTGCATGAACTTGGAAGATGTGTATCCATGGCTTTCTCTTTATTCACAAAGCGTGTATTTATAACAGCCAACAACTGAAATAAAGCAAAGTATTTTGAATCTGTTTTACTTTTATTTTGTGTTAGTTTTTAGGGTCTGATGTAGCTTAGGCTGGCCTCAGACTCCCTAAATGACTCCAGACTCTCTACGACAAGCTTGAATTTCTCCCCCTCTTCCCTGCCCCCACCTCCCAAGTGCTGGCACTACAGGCATGTGCCACCATATCTAGTGTATGCAAAGCCAGACACCCAATCTAGAGCTTTATGCCAGGCAAGTTGTCTACCAGCCAAACTACATCTCCATCCTTCACTCTGATTTTTTTCCAGCAAAGTGTTTGTTTGTTGATGGGCGGGGGAGGGTCTGCTTGTTTTCATTTTAATAGTTTTAAATGCTCATCATTTACATTTTAAGAATCAAACACTAAGAAGTTCTATCACAAGATGTTTGTATGTCTTATATTCTTTGTGATTCTAGACCTATGCATCTATAACTTAAAATTTCCCATTCTAGCTTATAAAATGCCTTCAGATGGAAAATGCATTTTAAAAATGATCTTTATTCTCTTTATTCTTTGGACATTTCTCAAGATTGATTCCTTAAAGTGTAAAACCAGAAATGCAGTTATTTTTTTTTTCCCATGGAGCACTTATTTGAGAAGTCAAGGAAAATCAAGTGCCCCACAGTAAGCTCCAGGAACACGGTGGCATTTATCTTTGTTGTTTTGGCTCATGAAGTTCTATAGCTCCGATGCCTGTCACATTCAGATGATTGACACATTCAGACACTCAGTGCACATTTATTGTGTCAGAGGATGATGTTCAAAAAGTTAGAAACACAACTTTAGGGACTGGAGAGATGGCTCAGTGGTTAAGAGCATGTATGCCTTTTGCAGAGGACCTGAGTTTGGTTCTGAGAACTCACATCAAGCTGCTCACAGTTACCTGTAACCAGCTCCAGGGAATCCCATGCCTCTGGATTCCTTGGGTACCTGCACTCTCATGTACATACTTACTTACATGCAAACACACACACACACACACACACACACACACACACACACACACACACTCACTCACTCACTAAAAATAAAAAATAAATATTTGTTTAAAAGACAAAAACCTAACTTTGCAAAAATGGAAAGTACGCATGAAGAAAAAAGTTATAGACTTCATGAATGAGCTAACAGAAGGTTGGCAAAACTAGTTCCTTTTTTAACTCACTCTGTAGCCCAGGCTGGTCTCAAACCCACAGAGATCCACCTGGCTCTGCCTCCCGAGTGCTGGGATTAAAGGTGTGCGCCACCACCACCTGGCCGGCAAAACTAGTTTTAAAGCAGAGACCCTGCTGGCTCTTATATCAGTTTGACACAAGCTAGGGTCATCTGGGAAGAGGGAACCTCAATTGAGAAAATGCTTCCGTCAGAGTAGCCCTGGGTAGGTGGTTCTGAGCAAGCGAGGAAGAGCAAGCCAGTCAGCAGCACCCCTCCATGGCCTCTGTTTCAGCTCCTGCCTCCAGGTTCCTGCCTTGAGTTCCTGCCCCAACTTCCTTCATTGATGGAGTGACCTGAGAGTTGTAAACTGAAACAAACCCTCTCATCTCCAAGTGACTTTGGGCCATGGTGTCTTATCACAGCAATCGAAACCCTAAGACAGGCATTGAAAGAATGCTGGCCCAAATGGCTGCATTACACAGATCTTTTTTTTCTTTTTTCTTTTTTAATGATTACTGTCATGCAGGACATGCACTTGGAAGCACTGGGCTTTGATTTTCTTCCACACAGCAATCATCTGCTTTTCTTCTTGCATGAAATCCATTTGCATCATGGTCAGTATTTCCAACCTTAACACCCTCCCTGACCGAATGTTTAATGTCCTATAAGTAGTAAAATTAAGCCATAAATTATTGTTAATGGCGTTAGATAATTAAAGCTTATTTATTAGGTCAGAAAATAAGAAAATATATTCTTCTTGATTTCTAAAACCAGAAAAAATTGATATCTTGCTTATTATTTGATTAGTATTATATGATGCCAAGCTAAGTTACATTATGTTACTTTTAGTCTATGTTTATTTGTATTTAAACACTGTATGTATTCAACAAATAATTATGAAATGAATTTTAATTTTTTATTTATCTATTTGGAGACAGGGTCTTACTATGTAGATCTGGCTGGCCTGCTACTTGCTACATAGGCCAAACTGGCTTTGGAACTCATTGAGATCTGCCTGCTTCTGTGTTGAGAGTATTGGGATTAAAGGTGTGAGCTACTATGCTCAGCAGAGAATGACATTTTTTTAAAGTCAGAATTTATCTGTCTATCTTGCCTTTGAACAAGTCCTGTCCACATAATTAACAGCCACAATCCCACTTGCTCTTGCTGATGAAGGCATAATGGAGGAGTGGGTAAATGGACCATGGAATCAACCAACATGACTGAAACTCAGTTCTGCAATCTATGGTCTGCACAGCTTCCTGCATAACCACTTAGGCCCTCTAAGCCCTACTTTCCCTTCAATAGCACAGGGATCAAGTAGTTGGCCAGTAGTCTGTAAGTATTTACCCACATGCAAGGATTAGCTACAACTTGCACATGCCTCATTTGCAATAAAATGGCAGGATGAAGCCTCCAGCGTGATTTTTTTTTCTTAAGAAGGAAGAACTTGGGGCTGGAGAGATGGCTCAGCTGTTAAGAGCACTGACTGCTTTTCCAGAGGACCCAGGTTCAATTCTTAGCACCCACATGGCAGCTCACAAGGAGAAGGAGAAGGAGAAGAAGGAGAAGGAGAAGGAGAAGGAGAAGGAGAAGGAGAAGGAGAAGGAGAAGGAGAAGGAGAAGGAGAAGAAGAAGAAGAAGAAGAAGAAGAAGAAGAAGAAGAAGAAGAAGAAGAAGAAGAAGAAGAAGAAGAAGAAGAAGAAGAAGGAAAAACTTGCTGTTCTTTAGGCAAAATAATGAAAAGAAATTACAAATAATGAAATATCAATATTGCAAGCCCAGGTACCAAACAGATCTGGTAAGGTGGTATTGGCAACATCTGCTGTATAAGAAGGCAAGTACAAACAAAATGTGCATTAGACCTTTCTTCTTTTATCTTGGCACCTCACCACTTAAAATGGCTCTTTAATCCCTAATTCTTGTAATGACCATTGCAGAGATGAAAACGGTTATTGCGTCGTGTTAAACTGTGGGGAGGCGGCTTTAACTGACCCGGATTTCCTGTCTCTCCGCATGGCACAGGTGGTGAAGTTTACCAAATCCTTTGAACTGATGTCGCCGAAGTGCAGCGCTGATGCGGAGAACAGGTAAGACTCAGGGGCTCCTGCTGCCTGTTGATGCTCCTTGGCCCTCGGTGTTTGCTGCGCGGGATACTTCATTGAGGACAGGAGTTGCTCCTTCTCTGTATCATCAAGTGCAGCCATTTATTGCTTTTTCTGAACTTCAGGACTTAAAAGCTACTGCTGAACAATGAGTGTGTATAGGATACATCTCCTTTGCCATGTGTTTTTAAGACAAACTTTTAGAACAAGGTCTGGTGGTGCTAGCCTCTTCGCCTCGCTGTTTGGGAGGCTGAGTCAGGAAAACCACAAGTTCAAGGCACACCATGGCTGTGGAGTAGGACCAAGGCCAGCTTGGGAAGCTTAGGAAGATTGTCTCTCAAAATAAAGGGAAGAGGGCTGAGGGTCTAGCTTAGTAATAGAGTGCTTTCTGGAGTTTGTAAGAGTTCTCTGGGTTGACTGTCAGTAAAACAAAAAAAGGAAAGACTAAAATTTAATACTTGTGAGATGGTTATAACCTTGCCTGTAGACTTTAGTACCATCTCTCCTGAACTTCATAGTAGTTTGAGACTTGAAAATGTGCTGATCTCAGAATTGCTTTTGCAAGTAGTTGGAATAGCAGTGGTAGAAGCCTTATTTCTTCAACCACTGGTTTTGTGTGTGTGTGTGTGTGTGTGTGTGTGTGTGTGTGTGTGTGTGTGTGTGTGTTGTATGTGTGTGTATTTTCACACCAAGCATTTGCACCAAACATTGAAGCTGTAAATGAATAAAGTTCATTTTTTTAATCTTCCCTAATTATTCAGAAAACACAACGCTCTGCTTTATTCTGGCCCTTTTACTCTCTTTTGCTAGCTCATATTTGACCAATAATCTCTTCTCCTGACAAGAAACAGTGAGTTTCCAGCAGTTTGTCTCTGTTGGCATCTTTGCGGCTATGACAATAAAAGTGAGGGTCAGGGGTGACCAGTGAGTACCCCTTAGCTTTGCACTTCTGGAAATAATAGCTGGGCTACTACAAAAATTGATCCTCTTGACTCTGGTCACCTCTAGAGGAGAGGCTAAGAAGTGATGAAATTAAGCAAAATGCAAAGATTTAGAGAAAGATGGGTCAAGGGTTGAAGACAGTATGAGGATCCCCCTGCTGATGCTGACACCATCTCAATAGTGTGAGCAGCTTCCGTCCATTAATTGCCAAGTGTGCTGGTAGAAAGTAAGTGTTTCGTACACCCAAATCTTTTGAAGTAGACATGGTTAACCCCGAAAGACAAGAGAAAATCAAGGGTTGGCAATGTCCTAGCTAGCCTTCACTGTCAACTTGACACAGCCTAGAAGCACCTGAAAAAGGGATCTCGACTAGGTGGTTGTCTTTATGGGGTTGGCTGTGGGTATGTCTGTGAAAGGCTGTCTTGGTTGTCTACATTGATGCAGGATGGCCCAGATCACAGCAGGTGGCTCCACGCCCTAGGCAGGTAGTTCTAGGCTGTATAAGAATGCTAGTTAAGTATAAGCAAGTGAGTAAACGGGAGGTGAGCAGCAAGCAGTATCCCTCCATTGTTTCTTCTTTAAGGGGCTGCTTGAGTTCCTGCCCTGACTTCCCTCATGGACTGTGACCTGGAAGTGCAACCCAAGGAAATCCTTTCCTTCCCAACGTTGTTTTCACTCAGAACGTTTTGTCACAGAAATAGAAAGGAAACTGGAATAAGCAAGTTTGTAACCTGGTCAAGGCCCTGCAACTAATAAATAGTCTTCTATCCAAGGCCAACAGAGCTCTTCTGAACTTTAAACTTTGATTCTGTTATGACATTTAACTTAAAATCTGACAGTTGATCCCGTATAATGAATATCTTTTAGGTTAATGCTTCCCAAGTCTGGTTGATCAATCAGAATCAAGTTTGGAGAATTTGGTAAAAACTTAATCCTCAGGTGTTCACTGAGATATTCTTATTAAATATATTGGAAATGAAATACCAAGATCTATATATTCAAAAGGTTGTCCAGGTAAAATCCTGTTTCAGTATTCAAGGGAGATAGGATTTTTAAAAAATATGTATTATTGCCTTTAATTTTGGAAAACAGATATTGTATTTGTTACTTCTCAAAACACCAGACAAAAGCAACTTTAAAAGGGAAGAAGGGTTTGTTCTGGCTTACAGCTTGAGTGTGAGTCTGTAATGGCAGGAGAGTCATGATGAGGCAAGCTGGTCGTATCCCATTCAGTCAGGAAGCAGAGTCATGAATAGGTTTCCTCGCCTCCCTTCCCCCTCTTATTCAGTCCAAGCCCCCAGCCCATGAGACAACCCAAATTGAGGATGAATCTTCCCACCTCAGGTATTCTAACCTCGAAAATCACTCCCAGATCTACCCAAGTTTTATCTCCTAAGTGATTCCAGGTCCTCAGAGGTTAAAAATCAGATCAGTGTTGCCATCACAGAAACCAGTAGGACAAAATGGAAACTTAGTTATTTTTTGTCAGTTGTATGAATTTAAAGGAGAGCTCTGCTATGTAGTTTGTAATTTTGTTTATAGGGCATTCTTTCAAAAAGTGAAATATAGCAGCAGAGAGCAGAGTAGTAGGGGACAGAGGTTGAGGGAGGAGAGAGCTTGGCTAGGAAGGAAGACAGGGATGCAGCTTGTGGTAGAAGGTTGGTGTCTTGCTAGTGACCATGCTTGAACCAATAAAGACATTTGAATGGATTCACAGAGTTCACACTAACAATGGCTTATGATCTCTGTGGTTTATACTTTAAACAAATGTTATAATGAGAGAATGAAGCTTTTTAAAGGCAGTTTTTATGTTCATGAACATGCAGTTGTGTTGACATATGTATTTCATGTTGGCCAATCTCTACCCAACAAAGATTGGTTTAGAGTTACTGAGGTATACTCAGAAATTTTCCTAAATGGAATGTTGTAAAATAATTAAGATGTTAGAGAAAATATCTATAGATGGCTAACTTCATTAGTCACATCTCACATGCTGTATCCCCTGTCTATGTGGGCTCTATGGAGTTATTGAGGCATATCCTTTAACATCCCAATGCTTTGGGATTGCTGATTTTTCTACTTCTGAGCATGTTCACTCAGTTACTTCAAAGTTAAATATTCTGGCCTTGCAATTATTTTCAAGGACTTGCATGTCAAAATGAAATGACCCAAGGCCCAGACTGCCCTTGAAAAACTTTCTGATAATAAAAAAGAAAGGTCGGCTTTTCTTTAAAAAGACATTTAAAAGTGCCTTTGAACTCTGACATTATGAGATAGTCCCGTTCATCTTTCCATTTATGGCTTCTAAATTAATGGAGGATGTTCATCTATCTCAGAAGACCTTCCGTTCTTTGCCAGTAATTTTCCTCTTGCAGATGTGGAGTCTTCCAGTCAGTTAGTTATTGGAAGTGAAAGGAATGAAGATGAGCAGCCCCAACACATAGCTGGCCAGAGGCACGGAGCGGGTGTTGGAACAGGCTCCAAATCAGTCCATTGCACACACTGTTGTCTTTCCTTTGCCTTGCAGCATCTAACATATTCCCCACAGATGCCATCCATTAAAGCCCCCAGTCCTCTGGACATCACTCAGGAATACAACAGTACAGCTTTTAGAGGGTGGTTCCTACAGCCTCAGGTAAAGATACTTCAGGACACCACTGCCTCCTAATAAACTCCACTTTGAGGCTTGCTGATTCTTAGCTACAATCATTGAGAACTTTTTATTTTTAACAAATCAGTTTTATCACTGACTCATCAGTCCTGTTTAGCCTCCTAAGCAGCCAGTTTCTTTGTTACAGTGTCTCTGCCTGTGCTCTCTATTCAACCAGTTCAGGAACTGGAACTTATGTGCACTGTGTCTCTCTCAGTGAGATACATACTGGCTTCAGGACATCTTTGATAATACCTCCTTCTTACGGTGTCACCGCAGGCTGCTTCTACTGATACAATGGAATTTTGCATTGCGTTAGCTTCCTAGGATTTCTACCTTTTTTTATTTGTTTCTGAATTTCTTCACTGAAGACACTTCTCTAGTGAATAGCCATATACTGACAGCGTGTTGCTCGGGGCCAGGAACTGTGGTAGGTGACACGCCTACCGAGATTTAAAACCAAAGCTGAGTGGGAGTCTGTGCTCAAAGACCGAATGGTCGACAAACAGGGAAAGTAGATTAGGAACACAGTGTAATATAGTGAAAACATAATCTAATGGAAAACACAGAACCAGATCTGACCCAGCCTCCAGATTGGAGCTACAAAGAGTCACATTAACAGTGACGACTCCCACTGCTGCTCAGTCTATTCTCTCTGTGAGACAGGTGTCCAGAGCCTCGTAAAAGCAACCTTTAAAGCTTTCACAGAGCCTCTAGGATGCCTCGTAACCAAGTTTATTACCGAACCATCATTTTCTCCCAAGCACTCCCACATAGCCCCTGTCCTTTCGGACGTGGCTCAAAGACATCTGCTGGTGTGGGGCTCGTGTCCGCTCCATCCTAGAACTCCCATGTCTATCACAGGTGTAGTCGCCACTTTTCTGACAGTGCCCAGCGCTGTCTTACATGTACTGGTCACTTTCCAAACCCTGAACAAGACTGTGTGGAAATCAGGGAAGGTGTACTTTCCCTAACAGTGTGGCGTAGTGGGCTGACTGGCCCTAATTGGCCATGTGTGTACCCCGATTTTTATAAACCATTGAATTCTGAAAGCATATGTCTATAGCCCTTCTTTCTCCATGGGACCCAGACTGAATCCTTTAGGCTGGGATTACTAACCTATGATGATTAGTTTTTTTCCACTTGACATAACTAGGGTCATCTGGAAAGAGGAAAGCTCAATTGATAAAATGCCTCTATCAGATGGGCCTGTAGGAAGATCAATGGGGCTTTTTTTTTTTAAATTAATGATTAATGTGGGAAGGTCCAGCTCACTGTGGGTTGAGACACTGTGGGTTGAGCTCACTCCTGGTCAGGTGGTCCTGGGTTGTATGAGAAAGTCAGGTGAGCAATCCATGAGGAAGAAGCCCATAAGCAGTACTCTTCTATGAGC